TTGGCCTTTGGTCGTAAGAGGGAGCTACTTGGTTTGATTTCTGGAATTGTCAAGGTTTTTATGCAGCAAATTTTACTAATTTCCTGCCACCATCTTCTTCCTCATCTCCATTACATTCTTACTCCTCGTGCAGACAGCACGATTTTCATAAAGAATTTTTTTTTTTGAAATTTGATTAACAGCTAAAAGCTAACACCCACTAACATCCAGAAGTACAGATGAGTGTCCAGAATTCCGCCTCCTATAGGCATATTCTGTGTTTGTGTGGCAGTCCTATTTTCTAATGTTAATAAAATAATTTTTTCAATCTTCACCTTTGGTAAGTTGAAACTTTGACGTAATTTTTGAAATCGTACTCACAAGCTTCCTCTATTCCAGTTTTGTAAATATGTTCTGTGTTGGATGCGGCTTTAGCCACCAACTTTATGCTGATAACAGCATGAACACTTATATTTTTATGTATAATTATTATACTTAGGCATGTCGTATATGACCATATTTTCCCTATGCCATTTGGTAAGTTTTTGATGTTTACACCCCAGGCCCTCCCCATAACTCCCATATTTTTGTAACTTGTAGAACTTATGCTGATGATGGATCTATGATAGATCCGAAACATGTACAACCCCCCTTCCAACTGATTATTTTTGTAAAATAAAGAGTGAAGATAGATTGTGTGTTTTACTCCAGTTCTTTAACTATTCTCTTCACTGTGAGACATGGACTACTATTTCAAAATCTAAATCATTTTACCTGCAAGTAAAGGACAATCTGAGAGTTGCTAAAACTTGAGACAATAGTATAGTCATACGTAATTTCAACAACGCAGAAATCGGAGAAGGTGAAAAAGGAAAGCCTTCCCTGGAGCAGATGTTTCATCTCAGCACAACCTCCTGAGGATATAGTCATTGGAATATATTTAAGATTGGAAGACTGGAAGAAATTCTTACAGACGCAAAACAATCGATAAAACAGTAGGTGGTCTTCTCATGTAGAAGCAAAGATTTTTTTGCAAAATACATCCAGAAATACGCGTTATGAAGAAATCATTCTATGTAGAAAAATACATGATCTTTGAATTCCCATATAATATGCAGATTTAAGAAAACATAGTTGAGGTTTCTCGTTCCAATTAGGACGCACCCTCCAAGCAAATAAGAGGAATTACATTTGCTTCCCACGATAAAGTAGATTTCACATCAAAAATCAACCATTAGTTGATTATCTGCTAATCGCTAGCCAAAAAATGTTGACTTATAGTTTATACGATTTTACGGTTCACTAACGTTATTACCTACTGCAAATGTGGTATTTTGAGAAGAGAACTAGGTAAATATTTGTTATTATTATACCACCTACAAATGAAACAGTAACAGGATCTTTATTTTAAATGATTGTTCAGGTAGGTATGTAAAATTATATGCTAGCGTCATTGCATGAGCCATTATTCTACTAAAATATGATATAACTAATAGTAAGTAATTGAACTGAGCAAGCGTTTTTATGAAATCTAATTTCGCGATCATAACATACTTTGATGGCCTTTCTCAATTTGGTGAAAATTATCTATATCGAGCCAGTCCGAGGCAAATAATGAGATTATAAATATAGTGCTTTTATTTGATTACCATCAGCCCCGCAATAAACGAATAACTGTCAAATTAAAGCATATTTGTTTGAAATATGTTTAACAAGACCCATTGGCAGAAATTTGTCACAGGTGAATTTAATTTCATCATTGAATATGAGCGATGCATTAATGAGCTTGTAAAAAAAAAGAATTAATAATTAAAAACATGGACATAAAAAAATACATACAAAACAAGATTTATACACCAAAAATAATATAGTGCTTTTATTAAATGTCAAATTGTGTGTTTAGCTTTTTAACTGAAAAATTAAAAATGCAATTTCAGGTTTCAAACTTTTTGCAAAAGTTTAATGTTGTTTCTAAAACATGTACTTTTGAAAGATTAAATTACCTTCTCTCTTTTTTAGGTGTATTATGTATACTTTGAAAAAAAAATATGTCATAAAGTGCGACAAGTGAGTGAACCTGTGTGGAAGGAATGCGGGCATAACCCTCCTGATTGGCCCGAGATTAAATATACAGGGTGTCCCACTAAGGTCGACGAGGTACGTTATTATGGAAACCATAGACCTTACGGCATCGGGATTTTTTTCTTCATCACTAAATCGGCCAAGAGAAATTGATGGAAATTATTTTCGAGTTTCTAAGATGGCCGCTAGGGAGCGCAATCACGATGATATAACTAAAAATTCGAATTTTCTCGAAAAATCGCTATATCAAGGTACTGTTTTAACAACAGAAATCAAAAGTTCGTTAATTTTTGCGCCAGTTTGCTTATTAGCCTTTTTTCGTATCTTCACTAATAAGGGTGGGGGAAGCTGGGGAAAAAATAGTTTTAAAAATTGCTGTATCTTCCATACCCCTTATCCAAACTCATTCAATTTGGGCTTATTCGAAAGAGAATTTCATTGTTATTAAGAGCACCACTTCGTTCGGGGTCGATAGTCCCGTCCCAACCGCGTCTTCTAGAGGGCGCTGTTTAACCAAGATCCAGTTTTTTCTAATTTTCTGGAAAAATCCAAATGGCATGATATACTTTTTTATAACTCTGCTTAAAGAGCAAAAAATTATCTACATTTTCGCGCAAACCGCAATCCGATATCTGCATTCGTTTTCAAGTTATTTGCAAATAACTATTTTAATCGAATATCTCCCTCCTGTCATTTTAAACCAATCAAAAAATCTCATTTTGTGGTCAAAATTTATTTTCAAGTGGAAAAATTTCATGACATGACATGAAAACAAAATAAAATACTCATAAATGTTAATAAATCAATAAAAATTTATTGTTTTGCTCAGTAAGGAAACATTCTTAACAAAAACCACTCGTGCTTCTAATTTTTCCTGTCGAAAAATCTAAAAAACTCGTTTGCAAGTAATTTGTTTACCAAAATACTGGCGTAAATTTTTTTTATCTATGAGTATGTGGAAGGTAGCACTTTACAGCACATGTGCGGTAAAGTACTTGAAATACAAAAATATTGACACTCGAAGCTGAAATTTTGTACCAACACATGCCAAAAGTGCCTTTACCGCTCTTGACGCCATGACAACTGCTGTCGCGTGCGGTAAAGTATCACTTTCCGCACTTGTTACGTAAATACCTATTATAACGCTCGTACCTGTTATAGTTATTCACCTAACAAATGAGGAAAGTGATACTTTACCATACGCAACGGCAGTTGACCGAACGACGCGAAGCGGAGTTCGATCAAGCCGTTAAGGGCTTTACCGCACGCGACAGCAGTTGTCATGGCGTCAAGAGCGGTAAAGGCACTTTTGGCATGTGTTGGTACAAAATTTCAGCTTCGAGTGTCAATATTTTTGTATTTCAAGTACTTTACCGCACATGTGCTGTAAAGTGCTACCTTCCACATACCTACTCATAGATAAAAAAATTTCACGCCAGTATTTTGGTAAACAAATTACTTGCAAACGAGTTTTTTAGGTTTTTCGACAGGAAAAATTAGAAGCACGAGTGGTTTTTGTTAAGAATGTTACCTTACTGGGCAAAACAATAAATTTTTATTGATTTATTAACATTTATAAGTATTTTATTTTGTTTTCATGTCATGTCATGAAATTTTTCCACTTGAAAATAATTTTTGACCACAAAATGAGATTTTTTGATTGGTTTAAAATGACAGGAGGGAGATATTCGATTAAAATAGTTATTTGCAAATAACTTGAAAACGAATGCAGATATCGGATTGCGGTTTGCGCGAAAATGTAAATAATTTTTTGCTCTTTAAGCAGAGTTATAAAAAAATATATCATGTCATTTGGATTTTTCCAGAAAATTAGAAAAAACTGGATCTTGGTTAAACAGCGCCCTCTAGAAGACGCGGTTGGAACTATCGACCCCGAACGAACTGGTGTTTCTAACAACAATGAAATTCTCTTTCGAATGAGCCCAAATAGAATGAGTTTGGATAAGGGGTATGGAAGATACAGCAATTTTTAAAACTATTTTTTCCCCAGCTTCCCCCACCCTTATTAGTGAAGATACGAAAAAAGGCTAATAAGCAAACTGGCGCAAAAATTAACAAACTTTTGAGTTCTGTTGTTAAAACAGTACTTTAATTGATATAGCGATTTTTCGAGAAAATTTGAATTTTTAGTTATATCATCGTGATTGCGCCCCCTAGCGGCCATCTTAGAAACTTGAAAATAATTTCCATCAATTCCTCTTGGCAGATTTAGTGATGAAGAAAAACATCCCGATGCCGTAAGGCCTATGGTTTCCATAATAACGTACCTCGTCGACCTTAGTGGGACACCCTGTACATATACGCCGGTCGTCGCGTCAGGGTAAACGCAATTTTCGCAATGCACCACGTCGGGGACCCGTCGTGTCGTATAGTATAGGTTTTCGTCTTCCCCTCTGCTACTTCATACGTTACCAAAGTTCACTCACTTGTCGCACTTTACTTATTTTAACAATAATTGAACTTGAAACTTCAATTTCTGAAGTGGCGAAACATAGTTTGTTGGGGCAAGCCCTAAAATGTTTCCATATTCATTATAGGACCACCGTCGAAAATTTATAACTCAATGTCAATCGAGATGTCAATTAAAAAATTTCTGCTTTTGAGACTTTCTTCATGTATGTATTATTTATTGCTCCAGTTTTAATTATTCTCATCGAGTTTCATTTACAGACTCTAATAATTATCAAATTTTATTTTTCATCGAACCTGAACACTTAATAAAATCCACAAATAAATCATCATTATAAATAAGCTCAGGTCTTATTTCAAACAAAAGCCAAATTTTTATTAAAAAAAATAGATAATTTTTCCAAATAAATATTATAGATGAGCTTTTGGGATGACGAGATGAAGTTAGGTAAATTAATAACAAACACAAAAGCAACAATAATTTTGATTAGATTTCCTGATAAACTTGCCTAGCATGAAGTACTCTCAAAGACTTTGGTGACATGCAGTTCACGCTCCAATCCGTATTTCCATGATCGTTGCATATCGTTATCGAAAATCTCCCATAATTTGCTCTGATCAGTTTGATCAATTCACCATCCTTGCATTCGATTTTCAATGTTTTCCCTTCACACGCGTAAGCCGTCTCATATCGGTATTGTTCTGAAACAAAAATCATTGTTGAAATAAATGTTATTGCCTTGAAAATATCTAATAAGTATGCCGCATGCACTACGTTCATTGTACGAGGCTTATTTCAATGGTTTCACTTGCCATGCCGTTGTATAATAGATTCTTTAGATCTTGGAGGTCGACTATCAATAAGAGAGTGGGTTTATTACTTTAAAATAAATTGTTGAGAACAAAGAAGATTGATATTTGTATTTATTTATTTTTTCAATATATAGAAGAAAATAATGTAGATATTGTGGAAAAATGTAAATGAGGAGCACTTGCAAAGCCACTCGTAACAAACATAGTGCGTATACTATATTTTTGGGGGTTTGTTATATCCGGAATAAAATAACTTTTAAATAAGGCATAATTCGGCTACCCTTTCCATTAAAAATTTTAGTACGCAAAAACTTTTTTAGATTCCTGAAAACGATATATAATTGGTACGCCCATGAAAAGTTGCAGTCATATTAATTGAGTGCTTCTAATTATTTTCTATTCTTGGCAGCATTGCAGATAAAAATACCTACACATGTTTTTTGAAACCAGTTCTAAATTTGGACAAAAATCTCCGCATTTAATCACAAATCCTTAGAAGGTTTTGCGCTAATAAATACAACCCTTTTTTCCAATAATTATAAGGCAAAGTAACGCTCGCAACAAAATACAAACGACCCACTTAATTAAGAGCACGAAAGCATAAAATATATCACTTTAACAAATCAGACTCGAGCAGAACCAGTAGTAGATATTCAAAAAAAAAAATGCCTTTTGGTATGCGCAGAATCAGAAAAACCGTCGCCACCTATTTGTTTTCAATGCATTAGTTTTCCAAACAGGTCCACCGAATGCTTTGATTAGCTTTACCTGTTTTCTGTTCGCCAATCTTCGTCGATTTCATTTTGGCCGTGCTTTCACACTTTCATATGGTACTTACTGAGGTACTCAGTTCGTTTCAACATGCAACATTGTCTCTCGTGTCAGTTTTCATTCTTGAACCGGTCTACATGCGAACCGCCAACTGCTTCTTCTGCATAGTGTGATCCAACAAAAATCGAAAACTATTTTGTGGATATCATTTCATTATTTGGTCATAAATCAAAAATATTGGTAGTGGGGTTCAAATTCTAGCTCTAAATGTTACATTGGCCCACACACCGTGAACCTGCACTGTATTGAACTGTTTGCCCTTTTCCATTGCCTATGAAGCCCATCACCATTCCTTCAACCAAAATTGCCAGAATTTTTGCAGGCTGAAAACTCTATATATTGGAATAAGTACCTACCCGAGTAAATAGTCCGTCGAACTCAGATTCAAAAACATATTTTGATAATCGCGCACTGATGATACCTAACTATACATCAGGGTTTTCCGAATTCGTGAGTAGGTGTTGGTCACCAAAATTTATTAAATTGCGGAACTGCTAAACCGAAATTCTGCAACAACGCTTTTATTTTGCACTAAGTAATATATTCCAAAATAAATGTCAGTTCTTCATTACCACTTTTTTCGCCTATAAAAAGCATTATCAAATTTGAAATCTTTTCCTGAATAGGTACAGCCCTGGATTTTTTATTAAGTTTTTGATCTCCCTAAAAAAGTAGCTATTTATATTAAATTTTAGAGATACATCTTTGTCTAAAACATTGTTTTTGTTTTAAACATTTCATTGATGATGGTGGCCCAAAGACGAAACGTCGGAAGTTCGAAGTATTTCGAATTTTTAAAATGTTTAAGCTGCATATTGGTGAGCTTTGAACCCCTATACAGTTTGTAAATAATTTTCTACAAACTTAAAGCCGCTTTAAATAGAACCGAATCTATTCAATGCAATTGAAATTTAAAAAAAAAAAACCTTATGAGCATAACATTTTCCTAAATTAATACGAAATAATAATTGCATCAACTCGTACCAAATTAAATAAGTTATGAAATTACAGAAGCATCCCAGCATGCAGGCAAGAATGCAATTTTGTATAATTATGTCCAATATTATTGGCAATACCCAGCAATACCACAAATTTGATTTCCTGTATTTATACATATTTCGATTGACTGTGAATTATTCGCCCCAACAAATAGTAGTACCTAATAAAATACAAATTTTAGTATATAATGCATATGATATGAGCATGCTTTTATATCCGATCAGCGAAATGTACCTATGCCTTTATAGCTTTTGAATACTCTTAAGGCTAGATGTCAACAGCGTCCAATTTAGAGGCTAAGATTGGTTGATTATCATGAATCCGATTTTGTGAACGGAAAAAAACCTCACATCAGAAATGGCTCAAATTTGGCATAAACAGAAATCTTTCACTTTTTTTCGTGAAAATGTGAATAATAATTTATTGCTAACTAGGCTGATACATTTCTTCTTAATTTCAATCATCTCTAATGAATTTTTTTTTGTCGCTGACAGAAGATCACCTTAGGGCTTTTTACAAAACCGATTTTCCTTCAATTAAAGAAGCATTCGTCTAACGTATTATGTACATATTAGTACGAATTCCGGGTAACTCACTTTACAGTAACCTCCTTCATTGATAAAATTAAGAATTGAAAATTTACTTATAACTTATCACGTTTATCGAACCGTATACGCAAAAAATCTCGTATTAAAACTGACCTCTACGCACTAAACGTAAACGAAGGGGTTCCTAGAATTCTTGCCGTACTCTCGATGCAATTTCTCTCAAATCAGATTGTTCCGAACTGACCATTTATCCTCGTGATAAACCTTCATGATTTCATCGTACCTTTGAGCTTCTTTTAATCGTGTACGGGCCTTTCCATGCTGGTGTTAGCTTAGGAGATCTATCTTTCTTCCTTTGAGGGTTATAGCGCCAAACTGTGTCATTCTCCTGGAAATCTGTAGAGTTCGCCTTAGGATTATATCTCGTTTACATTCAGCCACTTGCGAACCCTCTGTCTTTTCTCTATGTCATGGATGTCAAAGCATAGTCTTCGCCTTCCATGTCGATGACATCTGGGCCAATATTCTGGTTCTCAAAAACGCTCACCGCTTTCTAGTCGCTCGGCACTTTAAATGCAAATTTACATTGAAACTGCCGAGCGACTGAAAAGCGGTGAGCGTTTTCGAGGACGAGAATACCGGCCCTGGTGACCTGAACAACAAGTCACAGAGTGGACGAAGCTCCCTTTCAAACGACACCTTGGCTGGTGTAACTCCTGCTGTGCTATGTACAGGTGACATGCATGGCATCAAACATAGAGGTATATTCACGCCCCAATCGTCAAATACTATGGAAAAATGTTCCTCGATCGACTTGCTTTATTTCTCAACTATGCCATCTGATTGTGGATGAAATGCGGTGGTTGTGGACTTGTGAATATAGCGGAAACTTCATGCCACTTCGTAATAATCCATGGCAACCAGCATGTATTTTTGCAGAATGGACCGGCTATTTATATTGCCATTCATTCGGAAGGTATCCCCGGGTTGTACTGCTTAATTTTTCCCTCAGATCGCGTTCAAGAACTAACCTGCTGCGTATGTCGCACTTTGGCGTCACCATGTCTTGACATCCTAATAATAGTTCACCCAGTAAAATCTGTTCCGAATTTTGTCCAAGGTCTTGTTGACTCTTAAATGAGTTCCGGAAGTCCCATTATAAACTTCTTCTAAAATTCGAATAACGTTTGTCGTAGGCACGACGAATTGCGTTTCAGTAAACCATTTTAGACCAGCGACGAGTCCCGTTGCGCCCACAGCGTCTTGAATATTTCCTGCCTATTGATCTGGATTTGCCGGTTTCCTTTAGATTCAAAAATGGTTTAATGTCACAATCTTGTAATTGGTCACTTCTAAGCTGTTCAGAACTTTTTTGAACCGTTTCCAATCCCAGCCTTCAATGGGAACCAGAAAAACTATAATTAGTCAACATAGTCGAGCGGGTATTGGCTAGTGCAAGTGAAGCTCCCAGAATCATATCCATCTAAATGAGAAACTGCGGATAGTTTGACTATTGAAGGAAAAATATCACTATAACAGTGGACACAGGCGCAGCCGCATATTCAATAAATTCTAACATTGACAAAAAGTTCAATGCGGTGCCACTTTCAAGGGGAGTTTTATTCTGCGCAGAGTGACTGGAGAGACCGCAATTATACATGGTGAAACCAAGTCGACCTGAGGTTGGGAAATATAAAGATTTATCACACCGGTATGGACTTAATAAATCAACATGGTTTTGCGTTCGACAACCAGCTCAGGGGTTCGAAGTCCGTCACCGTGAAAGTTACACAAACTATGATAATGAACTGCAACAACGAATAAGTTATAATGTGGATAGTTGGAGAATGACTCTTGGAGCCGTTGGACTCGTACAACCACACCTAACTTACAATAGAAACCTCGTCAGACAAAATATTAGTAAACTCATAAGAAATCATACCAGTCCGAATAGCAAACCTTCGCGACAACACTATTTACATCAACAAGCGCTATGTCATAGCCCTCTATAAGCCTGTCAAACGGATTTCAAAGTGTAAAGATCATCAAGAAAAGAAAGGAAATAAATCATCCAGTAACATTATGAGACAATTCGAAAAATCTTGGCAAGATCTTATCTTTACGGAACTGGAGAAGGCTCAAAAATTCATTTGTGAGAACAAGTATATCTTTGATATTGAAAATAGAGGAACCTATAAGACGACATCATCAAGCAGGAAATCAATACTGGCAGTGCTCCTCCAATCCGTCAACCACGTAGAAGACTTCCCATGGCCAAACAACAAGAAATGGAGTCATTAGTAGACTGTATACTTGCAGGGGGAGTTGTTGAAGAGTCTTCAAGTCCGTGGTCATCGGCAAATGTACTAGTAAAAAAAAAAGATGGATCTGCCAGATTTGACGTCGATTACAGAAAGCCTAACGATGTCACTAAGAAAGACAGCTACCCATCACCCAGAATTGACGTACCTTCGCAAGACCAAGACCAAGACCAAGACTGGCCAGTCTTGG